CCCCAAAACCCCAAAACCCCAAAACCCCTGCATGCAAGAGCAGATTTGAAGATATTGGAAGATCAATTATTTGAATTTGAGCAGAGCTGGCTACGACAAGCTTTAATAGAGTTTAGATTAGATTGACTTCCTCTGATCAGGATTGAGGAAAGTAACCCTATTCCTAGTACTCTTGTGGTACACTATCGGTGAATCTATAAAGTTTTATTATCAGTGAAAGAAAATACCTTGAGGTGGCTCTATTGATCTTCTCATTGAAGCCTTGCTTGTGTCCTCAGTGGGGAAAAATGTCATGTGGTTGATGTAGCTCTCTGTAGGACTCTTCATTTCGCCCACTCATAAAGGCTGTGATTTCTTCCTCATTCTTCTTGGTACTTCAAAATTAGTTGGGAAATTACAAGAATATCTTTTATGAATGTTGTTGATTTTGAAATTACTTGACATTTTCTTGTTGATATTTCTATTGTAAGCTATGAAAATTACTCTTGCTTTGGTGTATGAATATCTCTTTGTTTATGATAAGAAGAGAATGTAGCTATTTTATTTATTAATAAATTCTACCAGTGCGAAATAATCTTTCTGTATCATATTTTGATTCATTTAGACCTATAATACTTCTTCTCAAATACCTTGTTGTTTCTCTTCATCTCTAGCTAGGACATTTTTGAGATTATAAAGTACCTAAATTTATTGCTTAAATCTTACATAATCAAGATCGAGGTTGGGGTCTACTCACATAGCTACACAGTTATGATATATCTTACAGTTCCTTGGACCCAAAGAATATCCTCTTCTCTTATTTTATATTCTTCCATTTTCTTTGCTTAAGTTTTCTATTTTTGCACTCTCCTTTGCCTTGCATATTCTTTCAATTTATCTATTTTTACTTTGGAGATTATTTGGCTTCTTACTTAGATTAACTTTTCGTAATAGAGGGTCTAAAGAATTAAACAAGACTTACTCTTCTTAGGACTGGAGGGTTCAAGATTAACTCCATGGCGCATCTTTCTCTGACGCTTTTTCAATCCATACTTTTTCTTTAGTTCTAAGATAATTTGAAAAAAAATTACCATTGAAAATATCTACTTCAAGTGTATCAGCTACATGTCAGGTCAAGCTAACTTACTAGCAATCTTCTGGTAAAGTTTTTCATTCCTGTTCTTAAAGTCTAAAGTGTTCAGGATATCCCCGATCTTGATATTTTGAACATGATGTCCAGTAAGTGCCTTGTGATTAATCAAGTTATTTGCTGTCAAGCGTTCAAATTTTGGTCTCCGCATACAAAGTCCAAGAGTCTGGTTCTCAAGAACAGTATTTAATCTCTCATAAGAATTTTCTTGTTGGTTTATCTTACGACCAATAGCAAAGCTATAGCGTCATAGAAAGGATTACCTTTGGCTAATTCGATTCTCTCTAATACGGTCAACATCATAGTGTCTTAGAGGAACTTAAGAAGATATTTTTGCTCTAGATCTTTGTTGAAAGCTTGAAGTTTCATAGCCCTTTTATTTCTAGAGCAAGGATGATAAAAGATGTAATTTTATTTTATAATATTTGAGATGAAATAAGGATACATATTTATTCAGTAAATTTACAACATGTTCCAAGTATATCGAAAAATAAAACTTTCCAGATGCAGATTCTCTTAAATAATAAACGAAAAAAATGTGTATATTGCTTAAAATTCATAAAATGAATTTTCTTACATCCTCTTCAGTCCTCAATTTCTCTAAGTTAGGCTCATTATATCTTTCAATAGGCGAGAAGCTAATCGGTATAAACCCAAAAGCCATCTCCTCCTGAGTAGGGTCAAACCCCTCTATAAGCTCAACAAAACCCCTACTTCTCGAATCGTTCAATATCTTCCTCAATTTCTCCTTCGAAATCACATTCGTACCATCCTCCCCATTCACCTTCAACTTCTTCACCTTCTTCACCTCCCTCTCCTTCTTACACCTAAACCTCTCACCCTAACTTTTACTCTTCCTCTTCTAAAAATCTCTCTATCCCACTCACCTCTCTTCTTCTTCAATATACTCTTCTGTCTTTCCTTCTTCTTCCTTAAAGTCGCTGCTCTCCTACAGATCAGCTTCCCCCTACCTATAACCTGGAAGTGTCCTGCTCTAGAAGTAACAGTGGGGCTTACTCTTTCACGACTTGTCTCACTGTGTCGACTTTCAGACTTGTGAGATTGGTAGGCTGGGAATAGGTATTTTGAACCAGTGGTCTCCATTGATGAGTTTAAATATTATAGAGGTGAGTTGGGGTTTTGGGGTTTTGGGGTTTTGGGG